CCACTAATCTACTCTTGGTCTCTGTAGATTTGTCTGTTCTGGACATTTCATATAAATGAAATCGTGTAAGAGGTGGCCTTTTTGTAACATTTTCAAGGCTCATCCATGTTGTACTATTATAGGGCAGCCCCAATGCAAAACGGGGTGCCTGACTGTGGGTCCTCACCCGCGCATTTAAAAGGACTTATCAATGGTCTACTGCAGGCACACACGAAAGGTTAATAAAAGGTTTATTTACAAGGGGAGGGGAAATGAGGAAATGTACAACTCAGGGAGTAAAGTGGGAGACAAAGTTTTAAATGAGTCCTACCCGATCCGCCGATCTGGAATCCCAAATGGCACTCTGAGAGCTGGCTGCAAGCCAGGAGCCGTGAAGCCAGGAGGCAAGCGATAGCAAGCCAGCCCAAGGCCCACGTGTTTGGTTTTTATATCCAACCTGGCTGCTTAACTCCACTCTCAGGTCCGGTCCCAGCCACCTTCCCTTTGGTGGTGATGGGATTTGTCTTTCCCAATGTCTTGATGGCTTTAGTCTGGACTGGGAGTGGAGTCCACAAAGCCTGTATGGGATTAGCTCAGGACATCATTTCCCCCTAACAGTAGCATATATGAGATTCACTGCTTTTTATTGGTAATATTCTGCTATGTGGATATTCTACATCCACCTACTATGTGGATACACTACATTTTATATCCATTGATGACTTGATGAACATTTGGATTGTTCTCACTTTGAGGACATTAAGAATAAGGCTATGATGAATGTTGATGTACCAGTTTTTATGTGTAATTTTCTTATTTCTATTCAATATGTAACTAGGAGTAAAATTGCTGGATCGTATAGTAACTCTGTTTTACTCATCTGAGAAACTGCCAAACTGTTTACAAAGTGGCTGCCCCATTTTATATTCTCCCCAGCATTGTATGAGCTCTCCAGTTGCTCCACATCCTCAATATTGTTATTACCATTTTTTTAATTGCAGCCATTAATGTGGGTGTAAAATGTTATTGTGGTTTTGATTTGAACTCCCCTGATGACAGTGGTATTCAGCATCTTTTCTTACGTTCATTGGCAATTTCTTCATAGTCTATGAAGAAATTTATCCTCATAGCTTTTCTACATTTTTAATTACATTGTCTTTTTATCATTTAGTTGTAGGAGTCCCTTATGTATGATAGATACCAACCCATTATCAAATATATGATTCGCAAAATATTTTCTTCCATTTTGAGGGTATTCTTTTAACTTTTCTGATAGTATCTTTTTGAAGTCCACAACTTTTTAATTTTTGAGGAAGTCTAAATTATCTATTTCCTCTTTGGAGATATGTATTTATGCTGTCGCGTCTAAGAAACCATTGTCAAATACCATGGTATTTGACATTGATATGTTGTTGTCCCAATACCATTTATTGAAATGACTTAAACATTCCTCCATTGAATTGCCTTGGCACTCATGTCACAATTAGTTGAACATAGTGTGAGGAGCTATTGCATATATCTCAGTTTTATTTCCCTGAATATCCTATGCCAGAACCACACTGTCTTAATTATTATCTTTGTAGTAAGTTTGAAATCATGAAGTATGAGTCCTCATTGTTGTTCTTTTACAAGATTGTTTTGGTATAATATTAAGTTCTTTGAAATTTTTTTTTTAATATGAACCTGTAGTGCAGTTATCTTCACTTTTAAGATTCCTTTTGCTGTATCCCATAAATTCTGGTGCTTTTATCCTCGTTTTCATTGGTCCCAAGGTGTTTCTGCTTTAATATTCAGATCTTTAGTTTCTTTCAAAACAGCGTTTATATTCTTCAGAGTATAACTTTTGCATTTCCTTTGTTTAATTTATCCCCAAGAGTTTTTATTCTTTCTGATGATTTTAAAATAGAATTGCCAGATTTCATTGGCGATTGTTCATTCTCGTATATAGAAGTACTGTTGATTTTCATGTATTATCTTGTATCCTATTTACTGCTCAACTCATTGGTCTTTTAGAAGATTTCTTAGATATACATTATCTTTAAATATAGATGAACTTTATCTGGATGTACTTTTTTCTTAGCTAATTCAATTTTCTTTCCTTTTTTGTTGTATTTTTTCAAATGTGTTACCACAGCATACCTGCCACCAAAACACCCATAGTCTTTTGCCATAGTCCATCTATCTCCTGACCCCACTCTGGTAGCCTCAGTTCTACAGTCAGATTTCTAGGATTTGTTTTGGATCATATTGTATATGAGTAAAATTATCCAGTATTTGTCTTTCGCCTCCTAACTTACTTTGCTTAATATGATCCCCTCTGGTTCCATCCATGTTGTCAAAAATGGCAAGATTTCATCTTTTGTAGTTGAGTAGTATTCCATTATGTGTATTACCATATCTTCCTAATCTACTCTTCTGTCCCTGGGGACTTAGGTTGTTGCCAAAACTTGGCTGTTGTAAATAGTGCCACAGTGAACACAGGAGTGCATATATCCCTTTGAATTAATGCTTTTGTATTCTTAGGGTAAATACATAGGAGTGGAATTGCTGGATCTCCTCTTTTTAATATTTTGAGAAATCTCCATACTGTTTTCCAATGAGATTGAACTAATCTACATTCCCAAGAACAGTTTATGAGAGCTCTTTTATTCTACATATTTGCCAACACTCATTTCTGGTCTTTTGATATCTTATAGTTGCTGTTTATATGATACCATTATACATAATTTTACTTCCTTTTACATAAGTTTACTTTCACCCTGTTTGAGTATATAAAGTATCTGTAGCCAATTAGTTGCATCATATTCTTATAGTCTGACAATCTATCTTTCTGCCTTTAACTATACCCCACAGCAACTCCTGTTTTTGTATTCTCTATTCCTCCTCTTTGCTTTGTGTGAACATTTTCTAGTGATGTAATATTTTAGTTTCTTTAATGATTTTTTTCATTACATTGTTTTCTGTGTCGTAATTATGTTAAAGCACATGCTTAAAATTTATCAGAACCCTCTTATAATACTTTAATTCCAGCAAGCTATACAAACATTACTCCTATTTCCTTTTCTTTTTGTGCTATTGTTACACATATGTCATCTGTTTTCACATTGTATATTGTCATAATTTATATAATTTTGCCATTTAAAAAGCTGAGGGAGGGCCTCCCTGGTGGCCAAGGGGTTAAGTACCGCACTATGAAGCAATCCACAGCCTCTGCAGCACGATTTTGATCCTTGGATGGCCAGGGAAAAACCCACATGGTGAGGCAGACCTCTCCTGTCTCGCCCGCTGCTCCCCTCTGCAGTATATTTTCAATCAATCTGCCTGTTCTGTTCCCCACTCTGTCCCTGGTGGATCCTCTCATCCCTTACATCTCTGGCCTGTACCCCAGCTCTTATATGCATAAATAAATAAATCTTTTTTAAAAATTAAATAAATAAAAAATAGAAAGCTGAGGGAAGAACAAGTATATAGCTTTTGTTTTATTAATCTTCATATTTACAATTTCTGCTTCTCTTCATTTGTCTAAACCAGACCTTCCTCAGATACATCCAAACAGTTTCAGCCAAAAGGATGGAGACCAGGCTCTGTGTATGGTTTCTAAATTATACATGACACAACTAAAAGTTATCACTCACATCACAGTAGATTAGTATGTTCTTGTTTTGATAGTATATTAGCAAATAGCCAAAAATGTTCTTATCCTAATGATATTTAGTAGGTATGGTTTTGTCCATTTAAATGTTGTGATGGTAAAATATTCTAAGTCTGCGCTCTCCAACATGGAAGTCAGTAGCCACATGTGGCAATGAGCACCTTGAAGAATTGAATTTTATATTCAATTTCTAATAACAAAGCTGGCAGCTCTCATACTGAACAGTGAATTCATAATCTCAGCTGTCCCCTTCCTTAATATTTTGTAGTTAAACTTTATAAAGTAGATTCATAGGAAGAAACTCCTGAAAATCAGTGCTGATAGTTTTGTTTGTTATAATGGACTGGGTCATAGAAATATTTTTGAAAGAAGCTGTTACATCTCAATCTGCTTTAGAGTCTTTAGAGAATTGGTAGGCACCATTCTGGTACAGACACACTCATATAGGGCAGTGACCACAAGATGGGAAATACAGTCTTGGGATCTGCTTGGGACACAGTAAGGGACCCCGCACTCTGCTTTGGTCTCACTGAATGCCATGCAGACCGCCATTAAGAAAGGGAGGTTCTTTTTTCTGCTAATGGGAAACAGGGAAGTGAGGAAATCTTCAAAGGCACGATTGGAAACATTCACCTTACACAGATAGCAGTTGAGTAAGGAAATGAAAACCATACCGCTCTCCTTAGCAAATTTTTTCAGAGTGTGCTTGTAAAAGTTTTAACAGGCTCTCAGAATGTTCCTAGGAGTCTTTGAAGTAGAGAGATAGAGGATCCCATTATCCTCACTTCTCTGTAGTGCATTCCTCATTGTTTGCCAATACATGTTGTTCAACTAAATATTGATGAAAGCCAAACTGCTTGCAGACAAAATAGACATGACCACAGTGTCTGTCCCTGGATAAAGTATGATAATAGCCAGTTCTTGGGTTACTATTTCTTTTAAGAAATAGAGTTGCTTAGGTCAAGGTCGGTAACAGTTAATGTACATTGTGGTTTTCCCTTCTCCTGTGCAGACATACCATAGCATTACACACTCTTAATTGTCTTGATGTGATAACCTTTCCCAGCTGCTTTCACACATTTTTTTTTGAAGTCCATTACCATTTCCATAATAAAAGCCTATACTGCAAGCAACTGACATTAACATTTTCATTTTCTCTGGGTCCATGTCAACATTATAATCAGTAACAAAAGAAGATACAATGTTCATCCACACCCACCATGGGGGAAAAGGTATTTCTCTCTTTAGATGATTCTGAAAATTTCTAAGGAAAAACACGCTACAAAGAGAAAGGTCACATTCGCTTGATGTTGTGAACAAGTACAGAGTCTACAGGTGAATTAATGTTTCCTCGTGTGTTGGTCCACAGGTCATAGATCTGTACTGGGGAGTCGATGAAGCGGAATGGGACAGCCCAGAGCTCCAGAAGACCCGCATGAAGCTGCTGGAGGATTGTTTGAAAACTTCTGCAGGTCCATGTTTTGTTGTGGGTATAAAAAAAATTAATGCTTTATATTAATGGTAGATGAATTTGAGAATTCTTGCTGATTTGTTAATTCTGTGGGGGGAAAATAACACCTCCTTTTCTATAGCTATTTAAATTTTTTAAACTGCCTTCTTACCCTCAATGTATGAGAATATAAAACCCTCAGCTTTCCATAAGAAGTTCTGCAAACCAACAGTAAATAATTTGAAGTAGTAATCAAAGCCATGACTTGGGTTTGAGAACAATTTCTGTACTACCTTGTGATCAGTACTAAGAATCTCTGTGGCAGCCCTATGGTAGTTATCTTAAATTTGCTTATATTGTTTAATGAATAACATCCTAGAGTCTCTCTCAATACAGAATCTCTGGCATTTTTTAAAATGACTGAAGCATTAAAGCAAACCAAATATATATGTCAAATCTGCCAGAAAACGGTATCCTATGAAGATAATTGTTTTTAAAGTGATTTTTCAGCTAGACATTTATTCTGAACAACAAATTTTTCAAGTAGAACATTATTATTTGTTCATTTTCTAAGTGCACTGTAGAGGCAATGGTAGTAAGATTTACTTGTAACTGTGTGTCAATGGATTATGGAGCATCACTGCCTTAATTTAGTTTAAGAAAGCCTTATTTGAGTCCACATAGATCTTACCCATTGATAGGGATGTTGCCCCTTTCCAACACTGACAGACCTGTGAATATTGTGAGAAGATGTACAATTAAAAGCTACATTCACTATAGCAACAAAAAGTCTTTAATATTTGCATAGTCATCTGTATTCACTTCTGCATAGGATTAGGAAAACAGGCAGAAATGACATCCGAAATATGACTAGCTGATAGTCAAGTTCTTACAGAGGACAATAGCATGCATTAAAGCTCTAATATAATCTTGTAGTATATGAATAAATTATTTATATACCAAGTACTTACTAATTGCCACTCTGGGCCAGAGGCTGGTCATAGTACTGGGAGTATGATGGGGTCCTCCTATGAAATTGATTTAACCTATGAATTGAATGAAAAATAGAACATTTTCTGTGGAGCTTATATTCTTATGTGAGGGGTTAGAGGAAATGGAGAGAGATGGCAAAAAATTCAGTAAAATATGGCAGGTGGTAGAAAAGAGTGCTATGGAGAGAAATACAGGAAAGAAGGAGAGGGAATACCAATGAAGGGAAAGATTTGTTATTTTCAGTAGAGTACTTGGTGGAGATCTCACTGATAAGATAGCTTTGGACAGAAGAAGAACAGAAAAGAACCAAGTGGATATTTGAGATCATGGTTTTCCAGGAAGAGAACTTGAAGACATACTTGGCATGTTCAGAGAACAACTATAGGAGCAATGTGAGCAAGAGAGGGGGACAAGAGGAGGCCAGATCATGGGTTCCATCAACTTGGAGTTGGCTATAAAGATTTCCCTGGTACTCCAAGTGTCAAGAGAAGCCACAGAGTGTTCGCAGAGGACTGCTCAATGAAAGTAATAGGTTTCTTGAAGTAATCTGACACATCCTAAGGCTTTTCCTTGGCTGATGGGTATAGAATAGAGGGAAGAGCAGAGACATCTATTAGAAAAGTACTACAATCAGACAAGAAGAATACATGGTTAGGAGCTTTGAAGATGCACTAAAAGTATACACTAGATGTCTAAAAGTACTACCCTGTGGTTTGAGCAGAATCAGGGAATCCTGAAAGCCACACTAAAAAGCCAAAGATCTGGTAGTGGGAGAGGAATTAAGACTTTTATCATGGGTTCTCAGGAGAAGAAAATGACAAGGTAGATTTCAGCTCCAAGTGAAACTGGAGTGTGTAGCTTTCAGATTCTGGGGTCACGCGTCCCCGCCGGGTTCAGACTGGCACTTCTTAGCTGTGTGACATTGGAGCATTGTCTTACTGCTCTAAGACTTAGTTTACTTATCTGTAAAAGGGAAGGAAACAGTTAAGTACCTCCAGCAGTCATTGTGAGGATAAAATGAAACTGTAGCACCTTATGGTTTCTCACATAAAGTAACCCATTATTAACATAAGTGCTACCATTATTAACATCCATCAAGGTCTTTTAAAGATGTAATGACCTGGCTCAAACTGCAATGAGTGCATCACCAACAAAGCTGTCACTAGAATAGAGACTACAGAGCGCTCAGGGAGGGGCTGTAGAAGAGATTCAAAGATGGGAAGATGAGTTAGGAGTTAGGGATCTCAATTGCTGTCTTCTCAACTGCTCTATCTTGATCCAGTCTTAGAAACCCAAGTGCCGGGGACCAGCCTCCGGCAAAATGTAGTGTCAGGGGTTCCTGAAAGGATGAGACGGCCTCGGCGACTTGTTAAGCGACTGAAACTCAGGGGCTGAGGGGAAGGGAAATGAGGTAGAATGAGGAGACACTGACACTTGGTGAGGTGCTAGTATCTTCTGCCGAGAGACTCAGCAGGTTCTTTATTTATACATTTTTTGCAAGCAGTGAGATTACATTATCATGTGCATAGAAACAAAGCAGAAACAATCAGTGCATCTCTTTTTTATGGGCTTTTGGCCACTACGTGCTCTCAGCAAGAAGGCAACCTTCAAGGCTAATAAAAAAGTAAGCCTTACACTAGAACTCATTGTTTCAACCAAACAATAACCTAAGACAGTGGATAGCCGCCAGTACATCCCTATCAGCTAAAACCTAAGCATCAAGAGACTATTCTATTCACATGGCCTTCAGCCGGAGACCAGGTGCTGCTTAGCTATCAGAACTTTTTCTATTTAGAAACTCCTAACTCAAATAGCTACATTTAAAAACTTTCCCAAGAAACTTCAAGAGAAGGCAAAAGAAGGACCTATTATAATTATTGTATTGTAATGCTTGTCAGGCATGTTCAATAAGTTGTCTCCCATTGTCAAGTGGGCCAAACTGCCCAACAACTAATTTTTAAACAAACAATTTTTTGTGCTATTTACTTACAGTATGCTGATACATATAATTTATTGCCTAATATACTTTCTGATAAATTTTTTTCTATGACCAAGAACAAAAAGCAAAGGATGCCAGATCTTCAGCCCAATGGTTTGAGGCCCTTTTTCTTAGCTGCATGTCAGTATCCTATCTGGCTGGAGCAACAAGGCCTCCTGCAGCACCCAAGAAAGAAAGAAATGTTCTCCTACTTTAATAACCATAGGTTCATACCCAAACTAACTAAAATGTAGTCATGGCCATTAATTCCAACAGATGCTGGTCAGGTAATGAATAATTTAAAGACTTTGCAAGTTGGTGCAGGTTCTGAGAGTAAAGGTTAACTGATAGAACATCAGTAACATCTTTATTGAGTGTAAACAAATCATTCGTTCCTCCTCCAGCTCTCTTGCATGTTGAAACTCAGGGCCACCATGATGAAGCCCTGTGGATGGAAGTAGGATTATTCACTCCGGTGATCCTAAATCACACATGGCTTATCTTACTGCTTATGGCCTTTCCAGTTGTAACTATGGTAATAGCAAGCATGTTTGTGATGCTTTTGAGCTCCAGTTTCCTTGCCCAGCACTTCCTTGTGATATTTCTAGAAGTCATGATGACCCCTGTGGGTTGCTAAACATGCTATTACTTCCCCTACTGCTAAAGACTATGGAAGGAAAATTGTACCATTGCTAAATGAAAGAGATGTTTTTATATCATCAAAGACTTCAGAGATACAGTTTTTATGTTCAGTACAGAAATTCAGGACTAAACCAAGCCTTCATTTTAAGTACCCAGGTAATTGACACCCAAAGTGAACTTGTACTTATGTGATGTATGTGCTTGGCACTTTTCAACTTTATTTCCTTAAAGTCCTGAGGTATATGGCCTGTGGTCCTAGAGACAGGCTGAACAGATGTTTGTACACATGCTTTGATCACAAAGAAGACAGGGTGATAAAGTAAGGGCACCTGGATATGTATCCAGTTCTACTTTCAGAGGATTAACACAGGAGACTTTCCATACTAAGAATATGTCATCTCTACCAAGGAAAAGCAGTGTATGTGGAGAAAGACATTAACAATAGGGAAAAAGCAGCCCAGAGTTGTTATTTTACAACTATAGCCAAAACCCTGATTCTGATGGGGCAAATCACTAATTTCACCATGCCTTAATGATCCCTCCATAAATAACAGTAAACTAAAAGCAAATGTTATTGTGTAAAAATGAAAAATGATGTAAAAAATATATAAAATAAAATAAAATTAGAAAACATAAGAAAAATCAAATGTTGAATAAATCTAGCAAAGGTGTTTTGTGGGAATCAAATGGGATGATGAACGTAAGCGTTTTTCATGAACTGTAAAGGGCTAAACAATGATTAGTTATTTTTATATTATAACTTAAATTATTTCCAAATGTGACTTATTTTCAATTATACTGGACATTTATGTGCTACTGGAAATTTTTTCCTTTAAAAATGTTGATAGTAGAGGGCCTCCCCGGTGGTACAGCAGTTGAGCGCTGGGCTACAAAGCTGCCTGCAGCCTCTACAGCACCAGTTCAATCCCCAGCCACCAGGCAAGGGTCTCACATGGGGCACAGACCTCTCCTGCCACCCGCTGCTCCCCTCAGCATGTACTTCCTCTGTCTGCCTGTTCTGCTCTCTGTTCTGGCTCTGGTGAATTCTCTCACCCTCCTGTGCTTCTGACTGTACCCAGTGCTTGTACAAATAAATAAATAAATCTTTTTAAAAAAATGTTGATAGTAGAAAATATTAAGGCTTGATTAAGACAGCTAAATAGTAGAGATCTTTAGTTCATTCTTAACAAAGACTATAAATTATGCAGAGTACATATTAACTTGCTAGATAGGGATTTACTGAGTGAGACCTTTACCTGTTCCCAAGTAGGAATTTTGACCAGGATTGCAGTTGACAGAGAGAGGTCACAATTGCATCCAAAGTCACTTATCTGCACTATTTTAAGTGGAGAAAATTGCCTGAAGCTTCACCATGTGGGAGGTTCAGCATCATCTGTACAGTCTGTCCCACCCAATTTGTCCA